TCTTTGTTGGTTCCTTCTTTGGTGTTAGGATCAGGGTAATGCCTGCTTCCAGGAATAAATTTGGGAGTATTACTCTCCTTTGAATTTCATTAAAGAGTGTGAAAAGTATTTCTGTTAGTTTTCCTCTAAATTTCTGCAAGAATGCAGCAGGGAATCCATCAGGACCTGGGCTTTTCTTTATTGGTAGGTTTTAAAGTACGTCTTTGATTTCATTGATTGATATTGGCTCATTTAGGATTTTTATATCTTCCTGATTCAGCCTTGGTAAGTCATCTGTATCTAAGAATCTGTCCATTTCTTCTATATTTTCCCTCTTACTGGAATACAAGTTCTCAAATTAGGTATATATGATCTTCTGTATTTCTGCAGTGTCTGTGGTGATTTCACTCTTTTTATTCCTAACTGTCTGGATTTGAGTCTTTTTTTTTAATGAGGTTTGCTAAGTGTTTGGTGATTTTACTTAATCTTTCAAAGAGACAATTGTTTGATTCATTGATTCTTTTATTGTTTTCTTAGTTTGCAATGCATTAATTTCTGCTCTGATCTTTACAATTTTCTCCCTCACCTGAACTTTGGACTCGGTCTCTTCTTGTTTTTCTAAAAGTTTGACGTTCAATATTAAGTTATTTGTGCTTGCTCTGTTTTCCTGATGTGGTTATTCACTGGTATTAATTTTCTGCTTAGGACTGCTTTCATTGTATCCCGTAAGTTCTGGATGTTGTAATGTCATTATCATTTAATTGTAGAAACTGTCTAATTTCTTCTTTAATTGTCCAGGAGGGTGTTGTTTAATTTATATGTGTTTATGAAGATATTCTGGATTCTTTTGCCATTGATTTCCAATTTCTTTGCAGTATGGTCTGATAATATGAATGGGATAAGTTCAATCCCTTTTAAATTACTTAAGCATGTTCTATGAGCTAGTGTATGGTCCACTTTGGAGAACATCCCATGTACAGCTGAGAAAATTGCATATTATGACGTTGTGGTGTATAACATTCTTTAGACATCTACAAACTCAATTTGTTTAAAAATTCAGTTCAGTTATATTTCATTGTGGACTTTTTGTTTAGTTGATCTGCCTTTTTGTGACAGTGGGGTTTTAAAACACTCCAATACAGTTGTATTGGAGCTTACTTGATTTTTTCATGTCTGTTAATATTTGTTTTATATAGTTGGGTGCACTGGTATTTGTTTCATATATATTTATAATTCTTATCACTTCCTCTTGGATTATTCCTTTTATGAAGATTTGGTGTCTTCTTTGTCTCTCTTTGTCAGTCTTGGCTTGAGAGTCAGCTTATCAGCAAATAGAATAGCTATCCTTGTGTTTTCTGGGCTCCTGTTACAAAGAATATTGTTTTCCATCCTGTGATTTTCAGTCTATGTATTTCTTTTTGAATTAGATATGTTTCTTGTAAGCAGAACATTGTTGTTGCTTCTTTTTTGTTTTTGTTTTTTGTCTTTTTGAGACAGGGTCTTGCTACGAAGTTCAAGTTGGCCTTGAGCTCACTTTGTAGCCCAAGCTGGTCTTAAACTTGCAACAGTCCTACAGCCTCAACCTCCCAAGTGCTGGTGTTTTTTGCTTCTTGATCAGTGCTGCTAGTCTGTGTCTTTTGACTGGTGATTTGAGACCATTAACATTGATGGTTATAACAATATGTATTAACTTATCCATGTAATATTATTTCCCTGTTGTAGGCTTTCATTTTTTCCTCCCTGTGTTTAATTGTTTACCTTGCCTAGTGGATTCCTTCTGTCGGGGTCCATGGAGTTGTAGTCCTTGTTATTTCTTTCTAGAACGTCCTTCAAAACATTTTGAGTGCTTGTTGTTACTCATGAATTTACTTAGGTGTTTTTTGTCATGGAAATATCTTATTTGTCCATCAATTTTGAAAGAAATTTTTGAGCACACCAATCTGGGTTGTAGGTTGTTTTTCTTTAGACTTTAAAATACTTCACTGCAAGCTCTCCTTGACTTAAGGGTTTGTACTGAGAAGTCAACTTGATTCTGATTCATTTTCCTTTATATGTGTTTTGTTTCTTTTCCCTAAAAGCTTTTAAGATTTTTTCCTGTGTTGAATTTCTGGACTCTTGACTTGATGTGCCTGGCTGTGAATTTTTCTTTGATCATGGCTATTTGGAGTTCTATATTGCTCAGTTATCTGTATGTTAAGTTCTTTTTCCCTACCAGGGAAGTTTTCTGTGATCAGACATAATGTTTAAGTGCTTTTTATATTATGTGCATCCTGTTTAAGTGCCTTTTTATATTATTTGCACTACCTCCTTTTTTAATTGATTCAAATTAACCTTCAGTTATTCTTCTGTGAAGTATATAGCAGCTTCTGAACTGATTTCTTGCTATTTTTCTTTGTTTGTTTTTGGTACTGGGAATTGAACTCAGGACCTTGTGCTTGCCAAGCAGATGCATATGCTTCTGTGATATGTCCCTGACCCCTCCCTCCCTATTTTTAAGAAATCTGTCTTTTCATTGATTGCTAACTACAAGGCTGTCTTGTGTATCTAGATTCTGTCTTCACATTGGCTCATTCTGCTGTGGATTCTTTCAGAGCAATTTTTATTCTCTGGGATATCTCCTTAAATCTGTCTTACGGATTCCATTTCTTTACAATGTTGGGCTTTCCTGACTTCCATAATTTTCTTAAGCACTTCTATTTTTTTTTTTATCTGTATCTGCTCTAGAGTCACTAAATATGGTTTTTATTGTGGACACCATCTCTGCAGTTATGTAATAAATTGTTTCTAATTTGATTTTTTTCTAGAGTCTCATTCAATTGCTTTGTTGTTACCACTTCAGAGAAGCCACATTGGTGGCTTTCAGATTGCTCCACCTCGTTTCCCCCCGGGTTTGCCTTTGGTGAACTGTATGTTTGAAGTTGCATCTTGCTTAAGTGTCTTCTTATTTTCTTTTCTTTTCTTGTTTTCTTTTTTCTTTTGTTTAGTTTAGTTGCTGGCTTGATGCTTGTAAATTGCCTATTGTGTGTTCCTTTATTCCTAATATTTAGAATCTTTAAAACATGACTATTTCTCTGAGGTATCTTCCAGGTGTAGCTGAATTTTGGGTTCTGAGTCTGTTGGAAGATCCTACCTCTGAAATTTGTTGGGAATAAGACGTTGCTGCCTGCTTGGCCCTAGTCCCTGGCTCTTTGGCATTGCCCTGTAGTATTTTCTATGACCTTTAGTCAGTCTCAGTTTTGGAATATGAAGAAGAACAACTGGTTAAAAAATTATGACACTTTTGGCTAATATTGTATCATTAGCAATAACAATGGCATCAAATGTAGCCTACAAAATGACAAACTGAGGTAACCATTAATTTGCCACCTTTAAAGGCATGAACTAGATTTGTGGTTATATAATAAAATCTAAAACAAATCAGAAAATTATATGCAGTATGTAAGTTCCTAGCACGTCACTTTTACACTCAGGTGTTAAAATTTAAAAGTGGTTAGGGAAAAAGTAGAGTAAAAAAGAGGAAAATATTAGAAGTAAGGCTGGAGGACAAGGAAGGATCACACTACCTTTGGGGAACTGGTGCAAAAGACAGGAAGAAAAGAGAGAAGAAACAAATACAAGTAAGAATAGAACTGAACAACAAGCACAAAGTGTCTGGAAACCACACTCACACTCCTGTAAGAACCAGATCAAATAATGAAGGAGAAACAAAAACAAAATGAAGTAAAACAAAACAAAAACCCACCACCCCCAGAACAACAACAAAAAAACAAGAGCGAGGAAAAATGAAAGCGTACTTCCAGGCTCATCTCTGCTGTTACTGGTAGACAATGTGTGGAGGCAGTGCAGAACTTGCTTATTTACTCTACCAAGCCAAAAACAGTTTATGGTAGCGCAGTAGATAATCTCAGTGAGCCTGCACTTTTATTTCCCCTGAAGTTCAGGCTATTTTCTGGCCTTGGAGGCTGAAAGCAGACCAATTCAGCTTGAAGCAGTCAGGGAACCTTCTGTGGGCTTGAACTAAGCTGGGAGCCACTAGACTGACCCAGCAGTTGTTCTGAGTTTTAAGCTCAGTTGGTCCTTCTCCAAGATGGCCCCCAGCCATTTGCTGTCTCCTGTGAGATGGCTGAGCTCTCAGCACGCACCCCTGCTGGTGCAGTCCTTCATACCCACTGTTCACTTCACTTCTGTGTCTCCTGTGGAGGCCTCTGGTGTTGCTAAGCAGTCACAATGTGTCCACAGATTTGAAACATGCCTCTCACTTAGTGAGGGCCGACTCAGGGAGAAGGCTCTGCTGACTACCTCCTTCTGCTTTGTTGAAATTTCTCTTTGCTTTCTCCATGAGCTTCCCTTATTACTTCATTGCCTCCTGGGTCCAATTGTCTTGTCTTCCTCACATTGCTATATTCCACTGTATGAATGGCAGCTCTCAGAGAGGTTCTTTCTCTGCTGATTACTACTCCACCATATTCCTGGAGGTTCACTTTTCAGAAGGCCAGATGCCGTACTTTTCCCAACAAATGAAAAATGCAAGTGAATCTCCAGAAATGTATCTTCCCAAGAAGGCTTGCAGGGGTGCTGTAGCTGCCACTGTTGGCAAATTTTGAAGAGCTGTGTCTTGGAGCATGCAAGACTTGCTGCTGCTGGGAAATGTTTGTTGCTATTCCCTTTGTAGAATTTTTAAATTTCTCTCTTGACTTTTTTTTGAGACAGGGTCTTGCTACATGGTCCAGGCTGGTCTTGAACTCACTATATAGCACAGGCTGGCCTCAAACTCATTGCAATTTTCCTGCTTCCATTCCCAAGTTCTAATACTACAGGTGCCATGATGATGATATTCTCTTGATATTTTTGATGAACACGTAAATGTGAATTATTTGATTTCCATATGATTATATAATGGATTGTTTTGCTGTTATTTCTAATTTTGTTCCATTGGTATTTGATAAAATGCAAGAAAAATTTTTTTTTATTTACGAAAGCTTGGCTTATGGCCTAAAAATTATGATTTGTTTTGGAATATTCCATGAGCTATTGAGAAACCTGTCTATTCCATAGTTGTTGGATGGAATATTTTGCAGACATCTATTAATTCTACTGGATCTATAGTATAGATATTTTGTTTGGGTGACCTATAAGGAATAATTAAACAATTCAATGGGTTTAAATAAAAATATTTATTAAATTAAAACACATATTGCCATTAATTCCCTTCACATTTTCCTTCACATTAAACATACTTATCCCATTGTTCTTGCCAGTTTCTGAAACAGTTCTGAAAGTCCTCTTTTGTGAGTGTCTTCATAAGATGTGATCCAGAACATGATGACTACTGCTACCAAGTGCTATCCAAGAGAAAAGAGGTCTTGTAAGAACATTGTGTTGTTTATTGCTGGGGTTGCTGGCTTTCTCCCTGCTTGCTTTGTGCTTGTGAAGCAGGTTCTAGTGTCTTGTGGGAGCCAGGGTTGGTGCTGTGCTCTGCTTTCTTCTTTTCTCTGTGTTGCTTTTCTGTTTTGCTGTGATTTCTAGCTTTGCTGTTAGGTTTTCTTGATTTGGAGCTCTTCTTTCTCCTCATTATATAACTGTTTTCAGCTGTCTCAACTCATACTCTGGGTCATGGAGAAGCTATAAGCTACTACCTATGTCTAATACACCATTTCTAATTTCTATAATAATAGTTTTTAATGCATCTAGTTACATTTCTGGGAGACATAAAAAGCAAAAAATTAAAGAACCCCAAAGAGATAAGTCTACCATCATCTCAGGAACTGACATACTGAGTATGACGTAAAACACCTAGCATACTGGATATAATTACATAGCTAAGGCACAATATGTACTGTATACATATTTATGAAAGCATTTGCCAAAATTGAGCCTATAGTGATTTTTGAGAAATTCTAAAGATACAAATCTTTGACATGTTTTCTGCTCATTGCACAAGTAAGCTAAAATCATTAAAATAACTCAAAAAATTTCCGTAACTAGAAAAACAGAAATATACTTTTAAATAACTTGTTATTAGTTTGTAAATCAACTTGTAAAAAATATAATGTTTGTACATAATAATAACTACTTATTAAGCACTGGAATTTTGATCTTAAATTTTATATATCACAAAATAGACTTCTGAGCTGATTAGGTATTTTAACAAGTTAGAAATTAATAAGTGATATGAAGTAGGAGGAAGAAATAAGAGACAGCAGGAGTTAGTGACATAAAAAGAAGGCATACAGTAGAAATTTAATAAAATAAAGCAAACTACTAAAATTAACTAATCTCTAGAGAAACTAATCAGGAAAAAGAAGAGAGGGCATAAATGTTTAATGTCAGAAATTTAAAAAGGAATATTTTTGCAAATACTGCAGACCATGGAAGATAAGCCAAGCTTTATTTAAAAGTTTATACTAATACATTTGAAATACTACATTATAGAAATGAGTCAAGAAGAAAGTGCAAACATGAGGATACAGAAAAGTAAAAAAGTTGCATCAACAGTCAAAATTTTTCCACATAGAGAACTGACTTAGACCACCTTACTGTTAATTTCTACTTAAATTCACACAAAATTTTTTTCTACAAATTCTTCCAGAAAACAGAAAAAAAAATGAGCCTTAACTATGTAATTTTGTACATAGATGGCATACCCTCAATACAAAAAAAAAAAAAAAAAAAAAAAGAATAAGAAAGGAAACTTACAGGTCAACCCATTGCGTCATTCACAGACACAAAAATCTGACACATAGTAACAACTCTCAAAATTAGTCTGATGATATATAAAGATTAATACCTCATGGGCAAATTAGAGTTACACCAAGAACACAAATGTCAATTGACATTAGAAGGCTCAAAGTTAATGTAGTTTTCTATATACACAGATCTAAAAAATAAATCATAAAATCACCTCAGGATGTAGAGAAATATTTGATGTTAACACGTACTCAAGACAACAAAAATTGTCTTTTAGCAGACCAAAATGGAGAGAAATTTCCTCTAAAACAATATCTAAAGCCTACAGAACCTTTCAATCACCCCTCACTGAGTGAGGAGACTTAGATTCCTATGTTTCCCACAAGAATGTGATCTTGTCTCCTGCTGCTTTTTTGTTGGGATTCTCCCATCAGCTCCCATCAGCAGGATCCTTCCAGGCATTAAAAAGGGAGGGAGTTGGGAGTGAATCACAGAAAGAGCACTGGGGTAGAGATGAAGAGAGTGCTCAACCTCAGGGACTCTTCTTATCTTGAATCCTATCTTCTTAAACCTGTTACTCTGCTCTGTTATGTCCCTCCAGTTGGGGCCCTGGGACGTCTCTTGTTCAGGGTGATCACAGAGTACAGAGGCCATGCTGCCCCCATCTTTTTGTATTTTTCAGACAGTCTTGCTATGCAGTTCTGGCTAGACTTGCTCTCACTTTGTAGCCCAAGAGGTCTTGAACTGCTAATGATCCTCCTTCCTTAGCCTCCAGAGTGCTGAGATTAGAGGCATGTGCCACCAAGCCCAGCATCCCCACTCTCTTGATAGGGCACACATGCAAATTACTGTTATGCAGTGGGTCCAGGTGTCCTCAGTTCCTGGAAAGGCTCAATGTGGTGGTCTCTTGCTGAGCTGGACAGTGAAAAACCTTTGGCTTCTCCATGCTTTGGACTTTGGGCAATCTGAATCAGAAGTTTCTGAAGGCAGTTTGGGCTCAAGAGTTCTCCTCAGTTTTAAAGAAAAAAATTTTTAAAACCCTAAGATTTTCTGGTATTCTGTGATACTATTCCCTGTGGGTAACACATGTTGTTCCTCTGCTGAGGAAAGGTCTGTGTTTTAGCTCTCACCATTGAGGACAGGACCTGTGTCCTCTCTACCTTCATGATAAACACCTTTTCCATGACTAAATAATCTCTCTCTCTCTCTCTCTCTCTCTCTCTCTCTCTCTCTCTCTCTCTCTCTCTCTCCCTCGCTCTCTTTCTCTGTCTCTCTCTCTTTCTCTCCTCCTCTTTCTCCTCCCATCCTTTTCTTCTCTCCATTGTCCATTCTATTTTTCTTGTTCTTTCTCTCACTCTGTCATTCTGTTATTCTCTCATTCTCTTTCTCACATTCCCTCATCATCTGGCTCTCTTCTTTTTTTTTTTCCTTCCTCTCTCAGTCCCTACTCTATCCCTATTGTGTTGCTTTTCCATTTTTGGACTTGAATGAAACAGTGCTCTCTAAGGCATGGAACCTGACCTCCTGAGTGGCAACTCGGGGTGTGTTTTGGTTAAGCTAATCAGCCACAACCTCATCCCAGTGTCTATGCTTCTGTAGCTGAAACCCAGCCAATCCCCAAAGATCCTAATTTCTGAACCCCAATAATGTTTGGATTCTACATCTCTCAAATTCTATATAAGATTAGCTCTGCTTGATTGAGAGATATTCCTTCCTTTTCTTTTTTCTTCTTTTCTATTTTTTAAAACAATTTTTGGTCTGTCTTGCCTAGAAAGCAATAAATTTACTTTTTTGTTACAGATATTGAATGCTGTTTCCTGCCAGTGACAATCTTTTCAACTGTTGTGAAGTTGAAGTTTCAAGTACTTGCCTGGAAGTTTGCTTTTGTCTCTTAGCAAGTTCTTTGAAATAGTAGCCAGACACCACCTCATTGCATTATCTTTTTGTTGTTGTTGTTTGACTCAGTTCTTTTTTTCTCAGTATCACTGCCCTGGGTTTTCATCTGTCAAATAAATAATTACTTTGATCTTTGCTTCAGGCTCTGCCTTCTTTAGAAGTCAGGATAGGACAAAAAAGAAAGTATAATTTTGAATATTGCTTCCTTTGTCTCAGGATAAAAGTTAAATCACAGAGAAAACTTCTTTCATAAGTCACAAATAAGATAGCCCCCCTGGATAACTTTCCATTAGGGCCTTTTTCCCTACTCTATTGTCTTTTGGCAATCTTTCATCCTCTGCTTCACACAGGTTTGTGATGGGAAACCTGACTGAGAATTCCACCTGCACACTTCTATTGGTAGAGGAAAACAAGTATTTCAGGCTTACAAAGAACATTTGGAGATGCTTGTCTCACTTAGGGGAGGAAGCATAGCCTGTGTTTGTATAGCAAATCATTGGGAGAGTCATCTGTGTTAGTGAATACCTCAGTGAGAAACGAGGAGTGAGAACTCAGTCCTACAGAGTCAGCAGAAGAATCTACTGGCCTCAGAGGAGTTGGCTTTTCCTTTACCCTTTCCTAGGCTTCATTCCCGGTTTGCAGTTGTATGGTTATCGAGCCAGTGAAGGCGACAGCAGGCAAGACTGACTGTGTGCAATGATGCCAGCCTTGAATATGATGCACATGTGCAGTTTTGCATTGTACGGGGATGTGATGAGAAAGGCAGGAAGTTTTGCAAAATAGGAGATATGTGCATGTTAGGGAGGGAGTCGTAAGAAGCAAATAGATAGCTCATAAGTTACTTAGCAGAGACACAGAAGACATCTGAGGGATAAATGACTGAAAAGTGAAATTTTCCAGGAGGTTCTTGGGGTCTCCAGAGATAAGGCTTGGAGGAATTTTTATAATTACTTTGCAGCCTCCAAGTTCACTGCATTTCTATGAAATGAAAACTTCATTTCTAGTTTATTCTGTCTCTATCAATTATTTGATTTCTGGCATTTGATTTCATCCTGTTTGTCTTTAAATATGCTTTTGCTTACTTCTAATTTGTGAGATTCAGCCTCCTTCCCACATATCTTCACTTTTCCCCATTTGAGTTTCCTTTCTCGGAACATGGCCCTGTGAAAGTGGAGAATGAGTGCACTGCCTTACTGTTGCCTTTTTAAATGAAGAATGAACTTGTATCTTTAAAAATTCCACCAACTGTTTTGTGTATGATTTCCATCCTATATTTTCTTCATCCTGCAAACTGTATTGTACACTTGATGTTTCTGTCAGTGTCATCCATCATCCAATGTTTGCTTCCAGATGAATTCTGGCTAGACTAAAGAGCAGAGCATATAAATTACCTTCTCAGGAAAGTCTGCATCATACAGATATTGGGAGTTTGGTGGGTGCAATGTACGTGTGAAAACCCTCTGTGCTATGGTTTCTTAGCTGAGGGCAGATATTCCAATGTAGCATGAATCAGTTATATTAATAAACATTTATAGCTCTTTGGGTGTCCTAAGTTTAATGAAAAATAAAATGATTCCTTGAAAATGTGTTATAGAAAAAAATGCAAAATACCGGGGGATGAGTTGAAGCCCAGAATTCATTGAGATTAGTCAACAACTAAAAACTCACAGTTAAAAGCTGTAACCATAAATTACCTCACTAGGGTTTATGCTGTTGAAAGAGCTGTTGTCTTTTTACAGTTATTGTGGCCACAACTGGAACCTCAGATAAAGATCAC